CTAAGAAGTCAACACATAAAAACTACAAGAATTCCCTGAAGGAACCACAAATCATACTCCATGAAAATCTGGTAGGATAAATAGATCTGCTGCACCACACAGGCAGTCCAAGCCAGTTGCCTGGACAACCTCATCTGGTATGGTTTGCAAAAGTCTTCCCCTGAAACAGGTCTTTGTACATGGCTCATGTCACAGTCTGACCGGGAAAGGAGAGGTGAAGAGCCTGCCACCTGCTCCCTCTCATGCCTCCTCCTGTCTGGGGGAGCTGGATTTCCCTTTGGTTTTCACCAAAGGGCAGAGTTAAACTCAGCTCAAGGTAGGTAGAAACAGGCAGAGCTTTATTTCAAGCATGTCTTAGTTGTTCAGTGAGCACTACTTGGCCATTCCTCAGGATCCCTAACCTGTGCAACTGCCCCAGGGTTTCCACAGATATCACAGATGTGTCCTGCTTGGCAGGGCCCTGGACTCAGGAAGTGGTGCAGAAAGGGACAAGTTCACTCTACTGCACTTCTTGAAGCCTGGGCAGGCAAAAATGAGCTACTGGGGCTGGGAAACCCCAGGAGACTCCGGAGAAACGCACAGAATTGCACAAAGCTGTTTGAAAAGAGCCACAGCTCAGCAACCTGCAGCCAGGCACAGATTATCCTAAATCCCTTGCCTTCAGTGAGCCAGGGACCACTCCATACCCATCACCTCCAAGACAGGGCTCATTTTCAGTACTCAAGCCCCCAGGTGCACTTCCAAGTGCTGCAGCCTTGCAAGGCCTCCAAAGTATTCAGCTGCCCAGGGAAAAGGCTCAATGTGAGAACGTTAAAATAAACCCCCAAAACTACGAGAGCAAAATCATCATCAGGTACACAGCAGTGAGGATGGAGAAGCCTCCTGTTGCTCACAGATACAGACAGAGAGCATTGGCTGTGTGTTGCCTCACAGGCCTGAGTTAGTTCTGGAGCTGACAGGGCAGCAGGATGGAATTTCCTCTCGTTTATTTACATTCTTGAGTCCATTTTGGTACCTCTTCCCCAAGAGCTCCTTTGCTGATCAAGTAAAGTTTCAGTTAATGAGACTATTTTTAGCACCCACTGCTGGGAGAAGCTGAACCTTCTAACAAAGCCTCCTCACCACTGTAACGAGCACATTATTGCTGAGGGGGAGGAAAGAAGAAAGCTGAGGGTGGGCCTGTATCTAGGTCAGCGTCAATCTCTCTCTATCACCTATAGCCTTGTTTTATGAGAAGCATGTGGATAATAAATGGTGATTACAGACAGTGAAGGGGAAGAGGCAATCCTGAGAAATTTATAGATAGGAGAGAATTCACATTAATAGGAGATAATGCGGAACTGCAAAACTGTTATAAAAAAAGGCATTAGAAAAGCTCTGTAATTGGGGTTATTAAACACAACTACACCAGGGTTTTTTTCCTTTCTGGGTGCATGTCACTGTGATGGATGTCACTTTCGATAGTGATAATAACAGTAAAATATCCGTGTTAAAGCCAAGTACATTAACTTCTATATTGGTGTAATTTACTGCTTTATGAGTTCCCATCCTTCAGGAGCCAGACAAAATGCTCTTCCTTACGATGTCGATAACCGCGCACACATTTTGCAGGAAGAAGTGTTTCTTTAAGTATCTATCATATGTTAAAGAATTCTTTTAACTTTCCATTACTCTTGTCAGGAAAGACAGGGAGCAGGAGGAAGGGGTAAGCTATTCATATTGGTAACATACATCATGTGCTGGATTTGCCATTGCTCTGTCTCATGTGTCTGTCTCATTCACAGCTGCTTTTCTGGCCAAACATATAAAATATTAGTTTGCTACATGGGAAGGGGCAGCATGGACTGGACAGTAGCTACTATTTTTTAAAAACTACACATGCATGAATATGATATTGAAGGTAACAGTAAGTGTCATGCCAACAAAAACAATAAAAACAAAGGATTCTCCTGACTTAGTGTGGTTCAATAACAGGAAAGTGGAGGCCCTATCTTTCAAAGTTAAAGCACCTAAGCAGGAACAGCTCTGCTTTGAGTTATAAATAGAACAAGCCAAACCTCAATTTTTTCTGTCTGTTCTTCATTGCAGAAGATGAACGACTGCTAAAGGAACAACAAATATGGTTATTCATAGGCTGTAAGTGGAAATCTCAGTGGCATCAACAACACAAGTGCTAGGTCAGGCTTAGGCTCCACAAGGAAGCAGGGAAGAGACTGGCTGATGGCTGAGCCTTTGGCTCCAGCAACAGGAGAGCTACAGTCTGCTCTCACCACGCAGCTCCATCCCCCGGGGCAAGTCGCTCCTTTCAGTACTCCTTCCAAAAAGTGAACGCCTCCAGCTAAGGACTGTGATTGAACAGGGACAAGCACAATGAGGCCTTGAGGGACTGCAGCAAGAATCCTTCCTGCTTCAAGATAAACTAGTTCTGAGATGGTGTGGAGCTCTAAAGCAAACCAAACTACCCATATCAAGGGCAAAAGCGCTCTTAGAGAATCTACTTCAAAACCACATGGTAGAGGGCTCAATACCACTGTGATTTCAAAAATGGAGTGGGCATTTGGGGCCTGAGCTATAGCAAGTTCTAATGCTATTTAAAAAATAAAAAATCACAGAAGAAAATTTTCCTTCTCCCTGCAGTACAGACCATATGTGCAACAATGCAATCACTCACAGGACCTCTTAGCCAAGAGTCCCTGTCTGTAAAAGCAATGAGACCTCACAGCTCCTTCCAGCCACGATATTCCTGGGGCCCAAAGGGTTTGCTGGGCTCTGAACGTGAAGACAGTTCTGCTCACACTCAGTTTGGCTCCCGAAATCAATAAGTTCACTTTCAGGATCGGGCACTGAGAAATGCAATCAGCTCCCCCAAGCTGCACTTTCAAATTGCAAATTACAGAATAGCTTCAATGCTAAAAAAGAATTAGATGACTCCGGTTTGTTTCCAAAACAAAACGCTGCAGTGTGGCATTACCGATCATCATCCCACCCAAATGGAATTCAAAACTTCATTCAAGCCCAAACATTTTTTTTCTTCCACATGTGCAGATGATTAATTGAAGATTCAACCATTTATGCCCTACTATGTGCTGGTTTGGGGTTTTTATCTCTTCACAGTAACTGTATTTGACTGAAGTGACTCTTACCTACTGAAGACCCTGCCTTGTCTTTCCTTGTTCCTCACTGTGTGAGCCAGATTCTGCTCTTCCCACCTCTGTGCAGACTGGACAGTTCCCTCTCTAAAAGGTAGAGAGGTCTCTTTGTATTGGCTTCACTGGTGTTATCTACCCCAGGACCTAACCTGGCAGATACCAGATACCTGCTACCTCCCTGCCTTCTATTGTTGCTTCCACAATGGTTTGTCTGCTGAGAAAATATTTACTTTGCATTTGAGAAAAGGTCACTGACTGGTGGTGTAAACCACTCTCCCCTGAGACAACAGGAATGGGAGTCAGATTCTGAAGCAGAAAATCAGCCTGGATTCTTTTTCCTCCTCCCCTGTTCCCTCCTATATCCCATTCAGAGGGCATGAAAAGGCTCTCAGTGGCTCCAAGCCCAAAGAAAGGAGGACTTATTTCATGTCCCTCATGAAATCTACCTCCATTGGTCCCTTTTTCAGCAGGAAGCAGGGCTTGCTCTAATTAGAGCCAAGGTGGGTAACAAACCAGAAAGATTCATTTCCTGTGGCACCACAGGGCTGGCAGGAGCAGTTCCCTATCCCAGCATTCTTTCTGAGGACAGTCCTCCAAGGGGGCACAAGTAAACACATGAACTGGAGCAGAGGCCAGCTGCACTTGACTCTCCTTGCCTTTGAAATACACTTTGTTGGGTGTGGTCCTCACCCCCAGCTGCAGAAGCAGAGACACAAGAGCACATCAGCTGCATCACAGTGCTGCAGCACAGCAGGGGTTGCAGGACATGAATGACTTTGGCAGCACAACACTGGGTCAGAGGAAGCAGTGCACTTTCCTGTGCACAACACAGTGGTTTGTGTCGATTTCAAGATCACTTTTTACCAGCAACTTGGAAGTTCCTATGTGGTTTATGTACACAAAGAACAGAAGGGCATAAACACTCTGTAATTTCAATGAAAAAAAAATCCCCACTCAAATGAAAGGAACAATAAAGTTAATGAATTATGCATTTACAATCCCGGAGCACACATCTGTCTGTACAAAATACCCCCCAGTATAGCAACGAGAAAACCTGTGTCCTGCAAGTGAAACTGCCTGAGTAACATGAGGCCTAATTTAAAGGCCAATAACAGAACATGAGCCTGTTTTCAGTAGCCTCTTCAGCACATGAAAATTTTCACCACTCCTTTCCTTGCACCTCTCCATTCACAGCAGCAACAGCTGTTTAACAGAGATCAGTGGTTGGAAAGAGCAAACATATCAGGAGGAGGGTGACTGAAAGAATATATGCTTGGGGAAAGGATTAAGGGGAGAAAAGGGGAATTTTAACAAGGATGAAGATTGCTGGTATATAGATCCCTATCTGGCTTTGAAAAATTTAGCTCCCATGCTGTAACAGCAGGACTTCAGTGTGTGCAGTTCTTCCTGCCTCAGATCCTAAAGATAAGCTTTCACAAGATGGTTGGTTCAAACTAAGGCCTCTTTTCACTTCACTCGGGATCCTGTCCCCTGCTTCTCACAGCACAGCCTCGGTCTCTCCCTGGGCCAGCTGCAACATTGATCTAATCCCCTGGGGAACTGCTTCATCTCAAAAGGACTGCAGCTAAGAGGCTGTCAGGGAAAGAAGTAGCTGTAGTTTTTGGATGAGCTTGAGCAAAGCCAATTCACGGACAGGTAGGTGAGTAAACAAGTTGTGTGCTTTCTGCAAGGTAAAGCAGAGTTCTGCAGAAAGCACTAAACTTCTTTCATTCACCTCTGGAATCATCTATCTTCCCTGCTGCTCACCCAGGGTTTTGTACACGCACACTTAAGGAAGGGATACATAGATAACAGCAATATGCAGAGGAAAACATTGTGCACTTACTTCAAACACAAACAAAAAGAAATTGTGGCTGGACCAGGACTTCCAATCCCTTTGACTCCTTCATGATCACCAGACATGACATTTCAGGCAGGTCATGATCCCTTTTAGTGCTCATCAATCCCTCTCTCCTTCCAAGAGATTCCCAGTCACTAACAGCCATTCCTTTCTATAAGGCACTTCCCAGCACGTTGGAGGGACAACACCACTGCCTTGCAAGGCCCCTTGTTTTGTTTGCAGCCAGTCCAGTGGTGCAGGAGAAGGATGAAGAGGTGGGCTCACTCCTTGTGCAGTGAGTTTTTCCCTAGGCCTGCAAGACAACAAGAGAGTACAGAGAAAGGACAGACAGGGAAGTAGTCAGAATTAAAATATGGAGGATAAAGAGGTGCCATTACAACAATTTGTTGCAAGGTAGAGCCCCCTTGGAGTTGTCTCTGGGCAATAAGAGCACGTGGGATACAGGAAGGGAAGCACTTGGCCCTTGCTTTGCTTCAGTTCCCTAATCCAGCAGAAATGCATTTGGGGATTTATGGGTTTTGGAAGCTTCCAGCAAAGCTCAGGGCCTGTTCCTTGGGTTATTGTTTTCCCATCTGTTTCTCTTCATTTTATTCCATCACAGAGGCCCCATCGTGGGACACAGGAATGTGACCGGAACAATAGGCAGAACTTGCTGCCTCCAGGACTGCAGTGAGGGCAGAGCCACCATCACAGGATGGGAGCCAGGGGCTTCTATATTTAGCCCTTTCTTGCTTATTCCAGATCACATTCTCACCACCGACTCAAGAAGTCAGGAGGCTTTCACCAGACCACTGTCCCTGAGCACTGCACATCCAGCAGGGCCCCTGAACATAAAACATTCATTTCCCTTCTAATAAATGCCAACAGGAAGACTTCCTGCTCCCACCTCCCCTTTCCAAATCCCTATTTTGACAGACTTTTTTCTTCATATAAGCAAACTAAATAAAACCATCTTCTCCTCTGCAAGGCTGGCGGCCTTGGAGCAGCCCCAGGACTCTGGAGCTTGCACAGCACAGCAGTGCCTGTTGGAGCAGGGCTCTGGGAAGAGGCAGAAATGGGTGATCTCATTTCCCTCGTGTTTGAGCCTGAGCTAAACTCACCAATCCACAGAGACTGGTCCAAGCCCACACCTCAACACCTGATGGCAGGACAAGTGAGGGAGAACCAGGTCTGAGCATCCATCTGGCCTCGATCACTACCACAGCCCGTGCATAAACCTCTCAAACTCAGCAGGTAGAGGACTGCTGAGCAAAAGCTCAGGTCTTATTGCAAAGCCACTCCATGTCCCCAGGTGCCTCTCTGTCACTTTGAAGGCCCTGCAGGAAGCCAAGCTGACTGTGATGCCATTTAGCACTTACCTCATTTACATCATCCAAGTGAGAGGATCCTGTAAAGTGAGGGGAAAACCCATCATGTTATCACAAACACTTACCTAAGAGCTGTGCTGTTTGAAAATAGCTTGATGATGGACAAGTTCTCTTTCTGCTGCTTCCACAAGGGTTGTAGATTAGGATCACTCTGCACTTTGTGTGTCTACTTCTACCAAAGTTCTACCAAAGGCTGCTGGTGTCCCAGTGAGAGGTTTTAGCACACAGGTGGCCTCCTGGGCATCTTGCTGTCATCCATATTACTCCTCCTGTGTACCAGTGTGTTTCCACACCCTGACTTTTCTCCTGTAGGCATTCCCACCACTGCCAGTTCCCCATTCCTTCTAAAAGCACCCTAAGTGGTTATATCAAGAAGAGAAGGCTGCTGGTGAATGGGTTACAAGAACAGAGTTGTTTTTCCTTTAAAGTATGTCTGTCCCTGGAAAATTAGTGGTACCCACCAGTGCCCAAGCACAGATAGAGAAATTACATCTTCTGGTCATATCACAAACCATGCCACTAATTTGCTTTGTAGCCTCAAACTTGTGGCAGGTTAAATTTTCCTCCCTGAGGTGTTTGCTTGTGAGAGCTGCTCTGAAATAGGGGTGTCTGAGGAGTGTTTGAAGAGGCCTAGACAAAACCAGCATAGCTGGGAGGCGGAGCAGACTGTCTTCTGCACCTTAGGATCTACAGAACACCTTTGCACTGCCAGCACTGGCACATCAACTGCATTCATCTGCCACACAAATCCCTTCTCCTTTACTTCTTTTGTGTCCTGGAGCCTGGCTTCTCTCCACTCCTGTGGAGGAGGCAGTGCCCAGTCCTCTCTGAACAACTGACACTTGCCAGCAAGGTGTAAATGAGCCCTGTGCGCCCAGCCAGGCTGAAAGGAAGAGAACACTTTCCATCTGGCATTCCTGCAGGTCTTGAGACAGCAGTTATTTATCCAAGGTAGAGGAGAGAAGGGAATGGAGTTTCCAATGGAAGAAGCTGACAGAGAGAAGCAACAGCAGCAGTCAGGGCCTTGCTTGGCCCAAAAAAGTGCTGAACAAAAAAAACCAAACCAAAAAACCCAAAAAGCATTGCTACATTTTGCAGTCAAAAGTTTTCCTTACATCTTCCCCTTCGCTCCCAGATGCACCACCCTGGAACACGTGGAATGAAGCTCAGACCCTTTGGAAGCTTTAGCTTTTAGCCACGAAGGCTGTGAGTTTTTACCACCCCAAAGCCCGGGCTGTGCTCAGGCCACAAGAGCAAGATGCTGCCATGAAGAGAACTGATCCATCCAAGGAGAGATGGGGGAAGACCTGAGGCACAAACAGGTAACAGTGAGTTTCCTGAAGGTCACAAAGCAGGATTTAGGGTATGACTGAAAAATGACCTGAAGCTTTCATAAATGCTACAGTACAAGGATGTTTTTCCAGAATACTAAACATTGCACTTACATCACCTTTCTCAGAGCAGGGGCCATGCACAACCCATCAACTGGATCCAGACTATTTCTGCATGCTTCCTTCCCTGTGTTTCCTTAGATCTATAACAGGCGTTCACCACTCCCATACCACCCTCAGCTCACCTTGGAGTACTTCCTTCTCTCCTCATCCAGTCTTCCTCCCATCCATTTAGAAGAAAAAAGGAGTAAAGAAATTGTTCTCCTGGAAGTCAGATCTAGTTTATCTCCCTGCAGATTCAAGTATAAACATCCTTTCAGGGAGCCATATAAAAATCACGATCCTTTCTGGGCCCCAAGAGGAGGGTCTGGGTCCTCATCCCTGCTGTCCCACCACTCAGCCACCCCAAAGAAATCACTTATTTCCCACAAGTGCAGCTGGGCAGCAAGGCCCAGTGGCACAGCCGCTTTCCAACTGGGTGCATGGCTCAAGATGATAAAGATGAGGATGCAACAGGAAAGGAGGTGGTAACGGGTTTAACAGAATAACAAGCGGATGTATAAAACCAGAAGCTTCAACTGAATAAAGATTATAACTGTACAGATAAGTGCAATCAATGCATATGCACAAACATTTGCGGTCAACAGAGCAATTCCATCCCCAGCTGAATGATCCACTGGGTACACATGTTCAAACGTGCACAACACTGCTCTGCTCAACTAAAAATCCTTTCCCATAAAGCCACACAGACTCCCTTGGGCAGAGGCCAAGCAGTTAAATAAAAAAGTCTATCCAGAGTGGGAACTCTTCAGAGACATTTCACCATCTGGAAAGAGGAGGGGGTCTTACCCTGAGAACGCTTGGAGAGCCCGACCTACTGCGGTTAAATGCGTGCCTCATCCAAAGCTAATTCCTGGGGAAGAGCATCACATCGTTCCCACTGCCTTATGCGGCAGGACCTGCAGTGAGAAAATGGGCCTAATTCTGCTCCTCTATCCAGACAAGAGCATACAGCCAGAGCCCAAGACAGGATGGCAGCTGGCCATTCAGTATTTGCTTTTTAGTGAGGCCAGACTCACAGTGTTGCTGGTGACAAACAAGAGCTATTGCTGTCAGTGTGGGCTTCTTCATTTCCTTTTATTATATCCCCACCCATGGCATGTAAATAAAGCTGCAGTCAGCTTCCTCCAGAGTACTGGGGCAGTGAAGATTGTACAGAGCATCAGGAGGGAGCACAGCCACAGCCAAGGCTGAGGGCGCTACCTCCTTCCACCATTCCCTGAAGACACCAGGCACTCCCAACAAACAGAAACAAGCACTTAAAGCAAAAAAAGATCACAGGACCCTGCTCTCAACAGGCCTTTGATATGTTAGCTGGCCTAGGACAGCAGTGGTCAGAAGAAATTAAGTAGGACATAGGACTTGGCTCCCTTCACAGACCTGCCCCAGGAGGCTGTATCCTGGTAAAGAGTAGCATTTTACATGGCCATATAAACTCTCTGTATTTCACAGTCACATGAAATCTGTATCCTGGTGGGCTTCCAAGAGCCCAGCTAGGCAGAGGCACCACCCATATGGATGCAATTGCAAGCGAGTGACCTTGGAGAGATATGGCCCAGGAGAAATTAGCACATTCAGTGGGAGCTCTCATCCTATTTCCTTTCTGCCAAGGGATACAGGCAACATGGAAGAGCACAGAAATTCTTGTTTGGCAGAACTCAACCTGTATCAGAGCTCTGATCCCAACTGTTTCACTCAAGACCGGTCCCAGTAAGTCTTGGAACCCCCATCCTTCTCTTGCAGTGGCAAACCAGAAAGAAAAACACCTTTCTAGATGTGAGAGAAGAGGCTAAACCTCACTACCTTAAAGCCCATCATCAGTCAGTGTCCCTGAAGAAGAGCCCCAGGGGCAGCACAGCCTTAAGAGGCATCAACCCAGGGGAAAATCCCAGGGACAGAGGAAGAGGAAGGACAACAGGGCACAGCTCTCATCCCTGTAGGACAGCATACAGCTAGACACAGGCAGCCAATGCACCAAGCATTATTCAGCATGAACAAAAAAAGCTCTTTCCAGCCTCTGCCTCACAGCTGCTCATCTGTATTCCAACCCTTTAACCCCAACAACCCTTCTGGCTGAGAGAGATGGGGGACATCATTTCACCTGCTCCCTCCCATCACTCTCCTGTTCCAACATTCTCAGCCCACCTGCTCCCACTTGCTATGAAGCTGATTGCCTCCTTCACAGGGTCACCTCCGTGCAAAAGACAAACCTCTTGTCTGGACACCGAGTTTCCTGGATGTTATCTGACCGGGATGGGGAAGGAGGGGGAAAAAGGTCTTCCTCCAGAACACAGAGATGGAATTGGTTGAAACAGCTCCAATCAATCGGGCTCAGTATCTGAGATGGTATTTTGATTCCAGTCCTACAGCAAGAGACAGCACAAGGCCAGGCGAGGGCAGATTACATGATCTCTCAAAGCCGCCTTTCACTGCAGCACAACATGTCCTCTGTGCTGCTAGAGGGCTTTCTCGGGCTGAATGAAATAACACTCTACAGCTCTTGATTCCTACCTCGGGGCAGCAACAGCATCTCTCCTGCCCATCTTTCTCCAGGGAGGAGATTAAATATCAGAGATGAATCAAAATGCAGTCAATCAGGCCAGGCAATCTGCCAAAGCAGGAAAAAGGAAGGGAGGGGGCAGAGAAGGTACCTCGGTACTGCAGTGACCTGTTTAAATGCTGATATTGAATGCTGAGCTGCCGGATCTCTCCAAGGCTCCAAGAGACAGGAAGAGAACACAGAAGTGGGAACCTTCCTCCTACCTTGGAGGATGGGGACGAGCCCACATCACTTCTCAATCATCAGCTACACTTGTGGAAATGGGCAGACTCAACTGGGAGAGCTGAAGAGACAGGACAAGGCTAATCCAGCCTGATGCTCAAAACTCAGATCCGGCAATGATCTAGAGAGGAGAATGAGATTCTAACACGTGCACTATTTCAGTAAAATGCACCCCTCTCAGCCCAAGAGATTACACAATTCCAAGGGGCTCTGGGAAGTACGAGCCCACAAGACCCTCTCAGAGCAGAGGTGCAAAGATTAAGCCTCCAGACCCTCCCAGGCCTTGACAGGTGTCTCCACAAAGGGCATTTGCACTTTCCAGCAGTAGTAATGTTGCTGGAGCCAGATTCTTTGGCCACAAAAGCACAAGCTGCTGGAGTTGGAAGCAAGAAAGGTTGATTTAGTGCCTCTCTGTATTTTAGCCACGTTAGGCCAAAGACAGCTGGAATTTGGGAACAATTCACATTGTGCTACCACATCAGAGTCCTGCTCTGAACCAGAGCTCTGCTGGGCTACAGTGCTTTGCACAGACACACAGAGAAGGCTTTCCTCTTCCAACAGTGCATCTGCCTGCACTGGGCATCTGGGTAAGCTGCAAGCCACAGCATCCATGTTGTAGGGAGAAACACTCAAAGGGCAGACTGAATTCAGAAAGTACTGCAAAATCTTGTCAAAAGGGCCTGAAACCCAAACCACCACCTCAGAAACCCTGTGCCAGGGTGAGAGACTGGGGAGCACAAGTCAGAGTTTTCAGAAACAGGTTGTTCAGACACATCTTCATGTGAAG